GTATATCAAGCTCTCCCATGGTTCCATGCCTTTATTTGCTCTTCTCTCATTCTTTTTGCTTCACATCATCATATTTCTTTTGTCAGCCCCAAGTATCTCATCTTTCAAGTCTAGTTGAAAGATTACTTTCTATTTGAAATCTGCTTTGACTCTTACAATCAGACTGGGTGTTCCTTTCTGGACACTCCTGTAGCACCTGGAACTCATTTCTATGAATCATTCATTTGATTGCAATGAAGTTGTTGGTGTGTGTCTGTGTCCCTGACACACCTGAGATCTCATGAGTTCCTTAAGTGTAATATAAATAAAGAAACGAATGGGTGTTGGTCTTCAACCCTCATCTCGGTAGATATTGCTTGACCCAAGTGAAAATTGCCTTTTGTTTTGATTTTTGTACTCTGTGTACCTGAGCCATACATTCCTATTTCAGTGATGCTTCTTTAAAGTCATTTTTTGTTGTTAATCCAGATTTGCTCCCCTTTGGTTCTAGTTGTAGAAAAGGATAAAGAAAATGGACTTTTGCTTCTGGAACTGAATCCTCCTAACCCCTGGGATTCAGATCCCAGATCTCCTGAAGATTTGGCTTTTGGGGAAGTACAGGTAAGAAAACACTAAATTATTATAGTCTTAAAAACAAACATAAAACCAAGATGTATATATTTACACCCTACATTACCTTGAATATTCTTGGATGTGGCTAGTTAGGACATAAAATAAAGTAATTCTGAACTCTTGAGCAAATTTTTTAGGAATCCCCAGAACTTTGCAGGGAGTACAAGGAAATAGATCCTGAAAAAAATAAAAAACAAACAAACAAACAAGAAAACTTTAAGAGGTCGTCCCAAAGGAGAAACATGGAAAACTACTGGAGGAAGTTCAGAAATTGCCCTTAATACCAGATCATTGTCAGATAAAGTGGCCAGTTGTATATTTCTGTGTATTGCTGTAAGATCTTTTCACAAACCTTCTTGTGCATTTTCCTACTTTTAGAAGAGAGTTTCCTCCAGAAAGAACACGTTGGTAGTTGGGAGAGGTAAACAATCAAAAACTAATTTTGCTGGAGCATTTGGGAAGCTTGTGAAAATGGACCATTACTTTTTGGAGGAAACAAAGTGGAACCTACGCATTACAAGCATAATAACCTGAATTTGATCTGTCGACCTCTCTTTACCCTCTGTTGGCTTTTCACACGGGAGTTTCTATTACCTTATCTCTGCTTCTTGGTGTGTTCCCTTTTCATATGGATATGCCAGACCATGGGAAGGGAGTGACGAATTGATTTAGAATCCTTTAGTCCATGCTGTCTCTCAGTCATTGTTTACAGCCATTCTCAGACACCTTGACATCCTGAGTGAGTCAGCAAGTAGTTTAGAAGAGAAAGCCCTACAAGGCTCTGCCAGCCCACCAGGAATCATTCGCTGAGATGTCCATTCGCGCCCACTCTGGCAACTAAATCCCTAAATATCTGCCATGACATCTCTAACTGTCTTTCCCTGTAAATTGTGCTTTGAAGGAACTGGTCACAAAAGATATTCTGCAGTGCAGACTATAAATAAATATTTAGGAGCTAATTTAAATAGAGTAGAGCTGGGTAAATCAATTGGTTTGACACCTAAAACCAACCATGAGAATTTCTATTCTAAAAAAGTAAAGTGATCTCTGCTGGGAGTTGTCTTCTATACAGATGCTCCTGCTGCGTCTCCCTTGAGTCCCATTTCACTGAACGTGCTTAGGAGCAAAGTTCTCCAAAGTGACTTGTTAGCTAACCAGCACAGTTCATTGTTGCTGGTGGGTGATGATTCGATAATCTGAATCTCAGTCTTCCGACAGGTAACGTACCTTACTCATGCCTGCATGGACCTCAAGCTGGGAGACAAAAGGATGGTGTTTGACCCTTGGTTAATTGGTCCTGCTTTTGCCCGAGGATGGTGGTTACTACATGAGCCTCCATCTGATTGGCTGGAGAGGCTGTGCCAAGCAGACCTAATCTACATCAGTCACATGCACTCAGACCACCTGAGGTAATGAAGTCTGAGCGCTCAACTCAGAAGAAAATGCTACAGCAAAGGCATCACTGTTTTTTCGGTTCTTTTGCATCTTTTCGATCACTGCTCATTTTGAGGTAGATTCATTGGGATGATGAAAAGAGGACTAATTTAGATAAATGCTTACATTTGCATAGCGTAATTTTTAAACCATTTTTTAAAATTAAAATACAATCAGTTTACAATGTTGTATCAATTTCTGGTTTACAGCGTAATGTTTCTGTCATACATATATTCCTTTCCATATTCTTTTTCATTATAGGTTACTTAAGATATTGAATATAGTTCCCTGTGCTATACAGTAGAAACTTGTTAGTAGTATCTGCAAATCTCAAACTCCCAATTTATCCCTTCCCACCTCCCTTCCCCCTGTTTTCTATGTCGGTGAGTCTGTTTCTGTTTTGTAAATAAGTTCATTTGCTTCTTTTTAAAAAAATATTCCACATATAAGTGTTATCATAGGGTAGTTTTCTTTCTCTTTCTGGCTTACTTAGAATGACGATCTCCAGGTCCATCCATGTTGCTGCATAGCATAATTTTTAAAGTACTTTCACGCAGTATACCATTGGAAATGTAGAAGGAGCTATCGTGGGAAGGAGGAAAGGGTTTAATAACTATCTTCTCACTTCCCACCCTCAGGCTACTTGAAGAAAGTCTTAAGTTTAAGGATCATCAAAATTGACTTCCTTTTTTTGGTCAACATTTATGAGTGGACATAAACAACAAGTTTCTTCTGTAGAGCACAGGGAACTATATTCAATATCTTGCAGTAACCTAAAATGAAAAAGAATATGATAACAAATATATGTATGACTGAAACATGCTGCACATCAGAAATTGACGCACATTGTAAACTCACTATGGTTCAATAAAAAAACTACATTTATGGCTGGAGTCAGCACACCCTTTCTATAAAGGATCAGAGTGTAACTATTTTGGACTTTACAAGCAATATGGTTAGTGTCTCAATGACTCAACTCTGCTGTTACAGTACAAAACAGCCATAGGCAATCCTGAATAAGCCATATTGTCTTCCAAATAAAATCTTATTTATGTACAATGACATGTGAATATCATAAATTTTTCATGTGTCGCCGAATAGGCTTGCCCTTTTGATTTCCTTTTCAACCCTTTAAAAAGGTAAAATGCGTCCCTAGCTTACAGCGGCAGGTTGCTGTGGTTTACCAATTCCTGATTTGTAGCACTTCAACGACACTGAGCTCCCAGCTTTTGGACCCTGAGTCAACCCCTGCCCCTCAACACTCTGTTGAAACCAGAGCCCTAAGATACTGAGTACAGGAACTGAAACTTCCCTAACTCAGGCAATCAAAAAGGAGGGAGAAAGAAGATCTTTTATGTACAAAAACACACACATTCATGAAGAAACGATTATCAGAAGAGGGAGGGTCGGAGTCCCAATCCCCTGGCTTCATTACAGGGTCCTGATTGTAGAAGTTTGGGTCGCTGCTGCTGGGTTGCCAACGTAAACACGTAGGTAAACACGTAGCAGTGCCCACAATGTGCTAAAATGAAGCCATTTCAATCTTTTTTTCTTCTGTGGCTTTATGTGACAAAGTTCACTTGAAGAACATACTTTGATAGAAGTGTCCACGATTAGGGAAAATACATTGTTTGCTGGTTGAATGGCCCTTTGATTTTTCTATTGAAAGCATATGAGATCTCTAAGGCATGAGTATGTTCCCTCTTTTTTAAAAACTTAAGTAATTAACTGCCTTAGTAACAAATTACCTGCAACACACTTAAAAATTGAACACCACCCACTGAGATATTGTGATGCTACAATTAAAAATCTCCTCGTCTGCTGCATGATACCTTTGTTCCATACAAGCTTCTGGAAGTAAACTTGTAAAACTTCAGGATTATGAGAACCCTGGGTTTGTGCATTGTGTAATAACAATATTGTGTAGGAGTAACTGTATACAGCTTCTCTAGAGAGATTAGTATCTCATAAACAAGGTAATTGCTTTATAGTGCCTGTTAACAAGATACCTTTGTCTAATGAGAGACAGTCTATGAATATATACTGAATTGTTGGGAGGATAAGAACTTACTATGTTATTGGTCCAGTTTTTTCCCAACTGCTTCCTGAAAACCAATTTAGTTTTCATTTCAGGGGCTTATGTGGGCCAAGTTGCCAGGCGTTAAAACACCAATTCTCAACTGTAGTATCACAATGCATTGGTTGTGTAGTGTATTGTAAATAGTTTATTACTGAAAAGTTATCAAAGCTTGTAATTTTCACTCCTTTGAGTTTATTTCCTTGATATAGAATAGACCCTTACTTTTTATTATTATTATTATTATTGCTATTTTTTTTTACTTCATTACATTTTTGTTTTGTTTTTGTAGGGGGGGGGTAATTAGGTTTTTTATTTATTTATTTTTGAATGGAGGTACTGGGGATTGAACCCAGGACCTTATGTATGCTTAACACACATTTTATGACTGAGCTATACCCTCCCTGACCCTTACTTTTTAACTCTTACCTATTCAGCTAATAAATACAAAAGTCATTTGTCCCCATTCCTCTTATCTGACCTTTACTTACTGAATAAAATCTCCTTGATTCACAAAAGCAAGGGGGAAAGATCAATGTGCTTTAGAAAACAGTCTTTAGTC